TCTCCTGCCTCAGCCTCCTGAGTAGCTGGGATTACAGGCACGCGCCACCACGCCCAGCTAATTTTCTGTAGTTTTAGTAGAGGCGGGGTTTCGCCTTGTTGACCAGGATGGTCTTGATCTCTTGACCTCGTGATCCACCCGCCTCGGCCTCCCAAAGTGCTGGGATTACAGGCGTGAGCCACCGCGCCCGGCCTAAAATTATTATTATTATTTTTTGAGACAGAGTCTTGCTCTGTTGCCCTGACTGGAGTGCAGTGGCGTGATCTCAGCCCACTGCAACCTCCACCTACCAGGTTCAAGCAATTCTCCTGTCTCAGCCTTCCGAGTAGCTGGGACTACAGGCTCATGCCACCATGCCTGGCTAATTATTGTATTCATAGTAGAGATGGGGTTTCACCATGTTGGCCAGCCTGGTCTCGAACTCCTGAGCTCAGGTGATCCACCAGCCTTGGCCTCCCACAGTGCTGGGATTACAGGCATGAGCCACCATGCCCAGCCAGTGGGTTATTTTTTTAAAACACATCTTTACATTTTGGCACTAGAAGATGCTTCAGGCTCATCTTCTGTATTCCTGTATTCCCTACCTCAGTCCTAGAATTAGCCATTTCTTAAGGAATCCTTTCACTGGAGAGTGATCTTAGAAACCAAGATCTGAGCACTAGATGTGCTTGTTGCTACTGGAGCATCATTCCTTCTAGGTCCTCTCAGGTGACAGAACAAGGAAATATAAGTGTGTATCATATATATACATATATTTGTAACCATATGTATCTATAATTGGCCCTCTGTATCTGCCTGTTCAACATCCACAGATTCAACCAACCATAGATTAAAAATATTTGAAAAACATCAGAATAACAACACAATAATAAAAAACACAAAGAATTACAGGCTTTGCACAGTGGCTCATGCCTGTAATCCCAGCATTTTGGGAGGCCAAGGCAGGAGGATTGCTTGAGCTCACAAGTTTGAGACCAGCCTGGGCAACATAGTGCAAAACCCATCACTACAAAAAATAAAAAAATTAGCCTGGCATGGTGGCACATGCCTGTAGTCCCAGCTACTCAGAAGGCTGAGGTGGGAGGATCACTTCAGCCTGGGAGATTGAGGTTTTAGTAAGCTGTGGTCATGGCACTGCACTCCAGCCTGGGTGACAAAGTGAGATGGTGTCACAAAAGAAAAAATATAGCATAACAATTATTTACATAGCATTTACATTATGTTAGGTATCATAAGCAACCTAGAGATGATTTAAAGTATATGGGAGGATGTGCCTAGGTTCTGTGCAAATACTACACCATTTTATATAAGGGACTTGAGCATCCTCAGAGTTTAGTATCCACAGGAGGTTTTAAAGCCATTCCTCTGTGGATACCAAGCGATAACTGTATTTTGAGATAAACATGATATTATATTGATATCTTTAATCCATCATCATCATGTGGCTCATTCTAGCCTTATCCCTTTGCTTGGCTATAACCTCCCATTCCAACAGTGAGAAACCTGGCTTCCACCATCCACCATCCATTTACTTAATTGTTCAAGTCCAGTATATATGTGTAGCAGTATCAGAATTGTTAACTTATATGTCCCTGTAGGAAACAACTTAACTACAGTGTGGTACTGTGTGCAGTTGTTTTTGCCTTTAGTCTTATAGAATGCACTTATTTTCAAAGTTTCTTAGGTCATCACACTTACTCTACACGCTTCAGTGAATTATGTACATACTGTGATGGTTAACTTTTTTTTTTTTTTGAGACGCAGTCTCGCTCTGTCACCCAGGCTGGGGTGCAAGTGGCATGATCTCGGCTCACTGCAACCTGTGACTCCCTGATTCAAGTGATTCTCCTGCCTCAGCCTCCCGAGTAGCTGGGATTACGGGCATGTGTCACCACGCCCAGCTAATTTTTGTATTTTTAGTAGAGACAGGGTTTTACCATGTTGGCCAGGATGGTCTCGATCTCCTGACCTTGTGATCTGCCCGCCTCGGCCTCCCAGAGTGCTGGGATTACAGGCATGAGCCACTGTGCCCAGCGAGAAGGTGTTTTTGAGTAGGATTAGCATTTAAATCATGCCTTTGAACTGAGACATTAGCTTTTTTTTTTTTTTTTTTTTCTGCTGTTGGCCTCGAAACATGGGCTCTTGGAATTCTAGCCTGCTGGCCTTCAGACTGGAACTACATCATTTGCTCATCTGATTCTCAGGCTTTCAGACTCAGACTGGAACTAAACCATTGGTTCTCCTGGATCTCTAGCTTGCCAGTTCACTCTGCAGATCTTGGGACTTATTAAACTCCATAATCACATGACACAATTCCTTACGATAAATCTCTCTCTCTCTCTCTCTCTGTCTCTCTGTCTCTCTGTCTCTCTCTCTCTCTCTATCTTCCCCCATCCCCTCTCTCTCTCCCCTATTGATTGTTTCCTCTGAAGAGCCCTGGTTAATACACATAATTACCCTTTTTTTTTTTTCAAGATGGAGTTTCGATCTTATTGCCCAGGCTGGAGTGCAGTGGTGCGATCTTGGCTCACTGCAACCTCCGCCTCCCAGGTTCAAGCAATTCTCGTGCCTCAGTCTCCTGAATAACTGGTATTATAGGCATGTGCCACCACGCCCCACTAATTTTTGTATTTTTAGTAGAGACGGGGTTTCACCATGTTGGTCAGGCTGGTCTCGAACTCC